GAGTTTCGCTCTTGTTACCCAGGCTGGAGTGCAATGGCGCGATCTCGGCTCACCGCAACCTCCGCCTCCTGGGTTCAGGCAATTCCCCTGCCTCAGCCTCCTGAGTAGCTGGGACTACAGGCACGCGCCACCATGCCCAGCTAATTTTTTGCATTTTTAGTAGAGACGGGGTTTCACCATGTTGACCAGGATGGTCTTGATCTCTTGACCTTGTGATCCACCCGCCTCGGCCTCCCAAAGTGCTGGGATTACAGGCGTGAGCCACCGCGCCCGGCCTCTTCTTGGCATTTTCAACTAGCATTTTTAACAAGCACATTTTCAAACAGCATAAAAAGTTAACAAAATTTTCATCAAAATGGCAATTTATACGACCCATAAGAATATGCTATCTTTAATACCGCTGAATCTGTAGCTACATATAAATTTGTACATTGTAAAAGCCTGGAAATAAGTATTTCTTCAGCAGTAACTTAAATCCCTATACTTAAAAACCAAACTCAGCATTTCACAATTTTCCCAAGATCTATTTTTTAATTTTTATAGTATTTCAAATGTGCCCATCATTAAGTGGATTTGTACTATGACTTGAGATTACTTTCCTCTGCAGAAATGTTTTCTCACCATTCGTAAAAGAATTTGGAGAGTATCAGAAGATCTATTCTTACTGTGTTGATTGCACTAGAGACTAATACAATATCACTTTAAAAACAAACTTCCCAGTGGTGGTGGGAGCACTGCTTAAGGCCAGGAGTTTGCGATCAGACACACAGTAAGACCCCATCTCTACAAAAAAATAAAAAATTAGCCGAGTGTGGTGGTGTATGTTTGTAATCTCCGCTTCTCAGGAGGCTTAGGCAGGAAAACGGCTTAAGCCCTGGAGTTTGAGGATGCAGTGATCTATGATGTATGTCACTGCACTCCAGCCTGGGCAACAGAGCGAGACCCTGTCTGAAAACAACCACTTTGCTCAAAGTTCTGAAAAATTAACATCTGATTTCTCTAAAGCATTAAATATTTCTCTCCACCAACTCCTCGAATACTATGAACCTAATTCCACAAAATGGTATGCATCAATTCAAACTACATTAGTAGGTTAAGAAAAAGATTCACCCTACCAAAATTGTAGACGTTTTACCCCCTTCCAAAGTAATCTCCAGGTCTGAAAGGGCAGCATCAACTTCATCAACTTCTTTGTCACTGTTGTTCAAATGATTCTCTGACGTCATGATTGACAGCTTATTGATATGATACTGAAACCAGAATTATTTTATTAAAATGACTGCTATAACTGTAAAGCTCCACAATGAAATTCAGACTCTGAATCTGTATTTAATGCTTTTCATTACCTAATTTGCAAAGACAGATGCACCTGGGAACTGGAATGTAGGAAATAAAGGGAAATCAATATTCTAAACCTGCTAATAAATATTTATCCAAAAGAAGTAGGGTCTTTGGACACATGCCAATGAATTCATAGTTTGGGGGCCCTAAGACTTAAGAGAGTTAACTGGTCCTCAACTGTACTTTACATTAACAGAGATTTTTAACTTTTTCTCATTGTAATCTTCCCTGTGTCCAGAACAGGGCCTGTTATCAATGAATATTGAATGGACATAGAGAATAAGCATGAAGTCTTTTGTAGAAATTGATTAACACTGAATACTGGACATTACTCCTATAACCCAGGAGAAAGTCATTATTATTGTGTCAAAATCTAAAGCTCCACTTTTTCCCCATCCTTGATTCAATGCTCTGTATTCTCATACATAAGAATGTTTGTATGTCAGTACGCACATGGACACCTACATATACATGGGTGGGACGGAGACGGAGAGAGAGACTGGTGAGTAGTGATGACTACTCATATGTAGACAGGAAAATTTTGGGATAGAGAATTACTAGTTATTGATTTTAAATACACTTCAGTAAGTGACTTAGAACAAACATTCATAATCTAATAGATTTTTATGGTAAGACTTAGAGAGGCTTTCTACAAAGGTCAGTAGAACTTTTAAATCTTAATCAGTTACCTTTCAAAGCAACAAGTAGCACTCCAAATGTCTGAAGTATGCATTTAATACAATCTATTCATGGGAACATTTAGTGAACTAATCTGAGACCACTTACCAATGTTTTTCTGTGTTTTAAGGTTTAGCGATTAGTAGTTAATAGTTTCTGGCTACTTCAATTGTGTTGAAATGAGATCTTACTTACAATGGTAGAAACGTCCATGTTCATAAATTATGGAAAATGAGACAGAGGTTGAGGCCCTCCGGTCCCAAATGCCAGAGTATAATACAGATCCTTACGTTTCCTCCAGAGATCCTAATTCACGAAGTCTGGGTTCCAGCCTGGAATCTGCCATTTTTACTGACTGCTCTTCTGGGTAATTCTGATGCAAATTGTCCTTATGAGTCATACTACTAGAGAAATCCTGGCTGTGAATGGGACTTATAAAATCCAGCTTTGCTTGCTTAAATTTTATAATAAATACTCTGACCTAAATGCTTTAAAAATAATGTTACTAATTCATCTACTTTACTTTTTATCCCCACCTTCTTGTTTTGTATTGCTTTGCTTCTTTTTACTATTGTAAGTTTACTTTACGCAAGGATCCAGATGTCCCAAGGAGAGGACACTTCAGAGTATAGGCTCTCTCTGATTAAAAAAAAAAAAAATCCAGGCCGGGCGCAGTGGCTCAAGCCTGTAATCCCAGCACTGTGGGAGGCTGAGGCGGGTGGATCACGAGGTCAAGAGATCTAGACCATCCTGGTCAACATGGTGAAACCCCGTCTCTACTAAAAATACAAAAAATTAGCTGCGCATGGTGGCGCGTGCCTGTAATCCCAACTACTCAGGAGGCTGAGGCAGGAGAATTGCTTGAACCCAGGAGGCGGAGGTTGTGGTGAGCCGAGATTGCGCCATTGCACTCCAGCCTGGGTAACAAGAGCGAAACTCCGTCCAAAAAAAAAAAAAAAATCCAGACATCTCCTCCTCACCATACTTCCACAGTTTGCTTACTCTGGTACTAGATGGCTTCCTACAGCCTTAAGGTCAGCCTCTAAGAAAGCCTCCAGCAACTCAAGGGATCTGTCTGCTAAAATACTCTCAATAAATCTCGACTCTGAAATGGTCTTGGAGGGCTATGCTTTGAGACCATTCCATTTCTATGAACTAAAACCTATGGTGTCTCCGAGGTGTTCCTTCTGTACTAATGTGGAATGCCCATGAGACATTAGGTAAGGGTGCGCTGCAGAATCATGCCATTTCTGTGAAAACATTACTGTGTGTACTCTCATTTTATAAACACTTTTTGAGTACCTACTATGTGCCAGGCATATAGTAGGCATCTGTTGGTTTTAAAAACAATAACCATAAACATGCACTATTTTTTAATACAAAAATAAAGCAATAGCATAATAACTGTGGTCTTTCACACATATTTTTACGGGCATTATTCTATCATTGGCCAAACCTCCACTAGAACATTATGAGCCTGTGTTCAAAGTGAGAAGGATGCAGGAAGAATGCCATAACCAGGTGAGGGGACTCCCAACAAACTGCTCCAGAATTTAATTCAAGAAGTTCGCCAGAGAATCTGAATTATCTAGAAGCACAATACAGGATCTTCACTGGCTCATTAAGCAAGTCCCTAGAAAATAGCTGATTAATCCATCTGCCACCTGGCATTTTCATTGTCTATGCATCTTTGCAACGCCCTTCTTTCATTATGTAAACTAAGGTGAAAATTAGCTGTTCTTGCTGTTTAAATTTTTGTTTTTTGGCTAATCCCACTCCCCATTCTTGCTTTCTAAGGGCAACTCTTTGAGTCACAAGTGAAAACTTTTCCGGATGCATAAAAAAAGGCATTTGGAAGACTGAGAGCATTTTTGTTTGTGTTCTAAGGAAAAACAAAATCCTTTCTACAGTGAAAGTTCTTCAACTGAATGTCAACTTTGCTTCCTGTACTTCCGTTATTTATAGAACATCGACTTTATCAGGACTTTAGGCTGAACCCAGAATCCCATCGTAACTGGGAATACTTGCCAAAGCATTACTCCGGTATCTGAAATTTAAGAAAGATGAATTACTTTGGTCATTAGACCTCAGTATCTGTAAGAATGTGAATTTGTGGATGCCATCCTAATGTGACTTAAGAAGTCGATGATTAATTTTTGAAGAAGCTCCCCTATAATTCTCAAGGAGGTGGTATGTAAGAACCACATATGAAAAAACTGGTTTAATCTAAAGAAAATATTAGCTGTCTACCCAAGGATTATCATTGTAGAAACAGGTTTGGTTTCACTAGTCTCTCTAAATCTTATCACCTAAAAGTATTGCTTTGCTACAGCCCGTTTTATCATGCTGGCTATTTATGAAATTATGCAGGTAAGCTTCAGATTCAATTTCAGAAATTGGATTTTTAATAAACATTTTCTTTCCAAGGGAAAAACTGAGTAGCTTTGAGCAGATACGTATCTGGGGGTGAGAGGGTAATTTTTTTCCTACAAAATACCACTAAACTCTTAGATAAAATTAAAAAAATCAAACTAAAATATATTTGTTTTTCCTTTCCTAAGTTTCTATTCACTTTCTGCGTGGCAAAAATTCTGTCTTGTCAAAAGTTACTGGAATTACGATCCCATTTTACTATTTAAAAATAACCCCCTACCCTTTACCCAAATAAGTCCCATTTACTAGACCTTTCAACTACCTGGAGGGCTGCAAACATCATCATTTCTTCTTCTGTGCATTCAATTTCTTCCAGGAGAATGGCCCATTTGGCCTGCTCGTAAAGCTGATTGATTCTGATGGCATCATACTGCAGCAAGAGAAACAGTTCTTTTGTAATATATCACCTTTACCATTGATCAATTTCAAATTCTGAATATTCAATTGACAAGAAAAATTTACTTCTTTTTCCCTGGGATTTTAATTTACAATACAGAAGTTTTATTTACAATCAAATATTATAAAAAGGATACCTATGGGGTCAGATATGCCTACATACGCCCACATCTAATTTTCCATTAAAAATGACATTAAAATATATAATAGAATAATTGATTTGACAATATTAAAAACAGATTCTGTATTTTTCAGGGAAATAACCACTAGACATTATAGCCTTTAACCTAAGAAATCTAATTTGATGACATTAAAGTAAGATGGGACTACTGATTATTCTTCAGTGTTGTTACTGCAATTTGCCATACTAAAATGTAATCAGAAAGCAAATTACTGTGGGGAACGTTCTGTTCACTGTGGAGAGGCATACCCAGATCAAGTGGCAAGTTCTTGGAAATGGTAGTTAAATATGCAAAATACAGGGCAAATATAATTATCCATTTAATTATATAACTAAAAGTCAACAGTAATGCCTTAAGAATACTGCAGATTGAATATCCCTTATCCAGAATGCTTGGGACCTTCTGTTTTGAATTTAAAATTTTTATAGATATTGGAATATTCCATTATACCAGTTGAGTGTCCCTAACATAAAATTCCAAAATAAGCATTTATTTTCAGCATTTTCTCAGCCTTCAAAAGTTTTAGCTTTTGGAGCATTCTACATTTTCAAATTAGGGATGCTCAACATGTATTTTGGAATGTTGACAAATACATCTCCATTCCCCTCACAAATGTAACTATTCCCAAAGTAGCTTTAGCTTTACTAAAAGTAGCTCTGATGTAGCCTGAAAATGAATTAAAATTATTTTCTATAGATCTATTACAAACATTTTGCTGTTGTATAAAGAATTACTGAAGCATACAATGAAAGATGATAAACATAACATTAAAATCTAGACTAGACTCTAGACATGAAAAGGATGAGAATGTAGTCAAGTGAGGTTTTTTCCCCCAGGTTGACAGGGAAGCAAAAAATTCAAACCTCTGTGCCAAGTGTTTTCTAGGGGGGAAACAGCTCCAGATATTTATAGCAAAGTTAAATCTTACCAGAAAAACAAAGCACTATGGTAGCAGAGATATACCAATCATAGTAAAGACAAACAACAGTGCTTATCTGTTAGAGAGGAAAAAAATGCAGACCTAAAAAAAATTTGGCTGGAGATGGTGGCTCAGGCCGGTAATCCCAGCACTTTGGGAGGCTGAGGCAGGAGGATGGCTTCAGCCCAGGAGTTTTAAGACCAGCCTAAACAAAAAAGTGAGACTCTATCTCTGCAGAAAATAAAAAAGTTAGCCACATGTGGTTGTGTGAGCCTGTAGTCCCCGCTACTTGGAAGGCTGACGTAGGAGGATGGCTTGAGTCCAGGACTTTGAAGCTGCAGTGAGCCATGATCATGCCACTGCATTCCAGCCTGGGAGACAGAGTAAGACAAAAGCAAACAAACAAACAAACAAAAAAACCCCTTTTTTTGAAGCAAGATCCTTTGGCATGTAATTAGTAATCTAAAAGTAATTGAAAAGGTAATCTTTCTGAAACTTCTTTTACTTAAATATAGTTGAAGAGAGGTATTAAATTAAAAAAGAGGAACTTTGCCAATTATTATTATCATTTATTATTATTATTTTGAGATGGAGTCTTGCCCTGTCACCCAGGCTGGAATGCAGTGGTATAATATTGGCTCACTACAACCTCTGCCTTCCAGGTTCAAGCAATTCTCCTGCCTCAGCCTCCCAAGTAGCTGGCATTACTGGTGTGTGCCACCACACCTGGCTAATTTTTATACTTTCAGCAGAGATGGGGTTTCACCGTGTTGCCCAGGCTGGTCTCAAACTCCTGACCTTGTGATCTACCTGCCTTGACCTCTCAAAGTGCTGGAATTACAGGTGTGAGCCACTGTGCCCGGCCTACACTTTGCCAATTCTATAGTAACAAACCAGTACCATTTAATGACATGCTAAGAGCTTACAGATAAAAAAAGAAAACCAAATCAACCAAGTTTCATTATCTTAAAAACAACAATAAAAAAGATTTAGTTACGCTTCCAACCTACTAAAATAGGCTTATTTAAAACACAAATACCTCTGCCTAAAGGTTTGAGTTTTTAATAATTATTCAAGATTTGCTATATACAAGTGATTCCTTATTCCACCCACTTCCAAAAACAAATGAAAAAAAAAAAATCCCTTTAAACCCTCGGTACCTTTGGATTCAAATCAAAAAAGCTGTAATACTTGAATCGGAGCAGTAAGGCCTCATTTTCCTTCACATCTTGTTCCATGAGAGATCTTGAGGAGTCAAGCCATCTGGACAAATTAAGAAGAGTATGGAACAAAACAACATAGAATTAAGAAACTATTTCTCCCTCTAGTTGAATAAAGAAATTCAACTGTATCGGTATCTTAAAACTTACCCTTGGTTGATTTTTGCTTTATCAAGGAGAGCTTGAGGCTTGAACATTTTTGCCAAGATTTCCGGTGACGTGATTGGTTGGCTGACAGCAAGTATACCAGGATTGCCTTCTGACAAAGCACTGTCACCAAACCAAGCAGAAGTTGGTGACAAGGGGCTTCCATCATGAGCATCATAAGTGGGGGTCATTGTTTTACTATACAGTCCTGGGCTTGAATATATACTTCCTAATAAGTAACATGAAAAACAGGTAGTAAGAATGCAGCACATCTTATGTTTCAATAACAACACATACTATGATATAAAGCACATTGTGAAACCAAAGTTTTATTCTGAAAGGAAAGCTTAGTATATTATTCTACCTGTCATGAGAACATGTGCAATTAATTCTCCTTGTATAACACTGAAACATGTAATAACAAAGCCTTAAGACTCTAATTAAGTTGGCAGAAATTCTGGAGAAAAAAACCAGTGCAAGAGAATTAGAAAATAAGGATATAGCTGAAGCAGACAGACCAACACCTTTTAACTGAGGCAAGGCTCACCTTTCAGAGGGCCAATGTAAAGAACATCAGTGCCTACAGGAAAGGAAAGAAAGGAATTCAGAAGGTAAAGGAAAGGCAACAACAGAGGACAGAAACAAAAGAATGAAAAGAAAATGAGAAAAAGAAAAAAACAAGATTTTCCCCAACTGTGAATCATAAACTGAAGTACATATTTCAAGTGTATTTCAGAGTAAAGAATTTTAGAAAGTACAATGTAAGTAAAACAGGTTTTTTGTCCAATTTAAAAGAATGAAGTTGTGCTCTAGTCAAGTATATAATGACAAACAACTTTACCACCATTTGAAATCCATACCATTTTAAGGTAATGCAACATGACTGAATTAATTCATATAGATCAAGAATAATTTTATAGTAATGTCTTCTCAGTAAATAACTAAACAGGTTCAACAGATTTACAATCAAGTATTTTTAAAATTTTTAAGTTCCAGGGTACAGCTAATGCAAAAGGGTAGATAAAAGTTGGCTCTAGACAGAGCCTAACAGAGGTTTATTTTATAGTTAAATCCCAAAAGGAAGGGGTATTATTGCCTTATTTATCTTCTGATTTCTCAGTATTAGGACTAGGCATACAGTAGAAGCTACATAAATAACAGTTTGTTACATTAGTCAACTGATGGTATGTGCTCCTTTATTTAAACTACAAAAATTAAGGACATAAATTTTGGGAATAACATTAAGTACAAGCAGCTCCCCCAAGTCCTAGCTCTGTTAAATTATATTTTGTTCTGTAGTAATACTTTTTCTTTTTCTTTTTTTTTTTTTTTTTGAGACGGAGTTTTGCTCTTGTTACCCAGTCTGGAGTGCAATGGCGCGATCTCGGCTCACCGCAACCTCCGCCTCCTGGGTTCAGGCAATTCTCCTGCCTCAGCCTCCTGAGTAGCTGGGATTACAGGCACGCGCCACCATGCCCAGCTAATTTTTTGTAGTTTTAGTAGAGACGGGGTTTCACCATGTTGACCAGGATGGTCTCGATCTCTTGACCTCGTGATCCACCCGCCTCGGCCTCCCAAAGTGCTGGGATTACAAGCGTGAGCAACCGCGCCCGGCAATTTTTTGTAGTTTTTTAGTAGAGACGGGGTTCCACCATGTTGACCAGGATGGTCTCGATCTCTTGGCCTCGTGATCCACCCGCCTCGGCCTCCCAAAGTGCTGGGATTACAGGCTTGAGCCACTGTGCCCGGCCTGTAGTCATAATTTTTCTAAAGAAAATGTGTAATGGGTATATGGGTATAACACTGTTAATAAATGATGCAAAGAAAATGGCTTTTCTATTCCCTAAATTTAGTATTAAGCTTAGGAATCCCTCTTCTTTCCTACTGTTTTTAACTCTCCTCCCCATGCAATGACAGAAACAACTCCTTTGAAAAAGTGGAGCTAGAGATTTTTGTAGCTGTCATGACCTAGTCTAGGAAGCAAAGGCAAAGTAAAAAAAAAAAAACTTTTTACTGAAAATAATGTAATCTCTTGCTAGACAGCATATTTGATTTGATGTCCCTGACATGTTCTTCCAACATTAGTAGTAAAAAAAAAACTTATAAAATCTAGGCTGGGTGTGTGGTGGCTCACGCTTGTAACCTCAACAATTTGGGAGGCTGAGGTGGGTGAATCGCTTAAGGTCAGGAGTTCAAGACCAGCCTGGCCAACATGATGAAACCCTGTCTCTACTAAAAATACAAAAATTAGCCAGGATGGGTGGTGCGTGCTATTCAGGAGGCCAAGGCTGCGGTGTGCCAAGACTGCGCCACTGCACGGCAGCCTAGGCAACAAAGCAAGACTAGAGTATCCATGTACTGTAATTGGATGCTATAGTACTACAGCTTCCATGTACTGTAATTTATGTAAGCCATTCCCAATTGGTGTGCATGTATTCGTTTAAAATTCTCAAAAAACAGCAACAAAACACCCCTTTAAAATTCGAACACTGTTAATCCTAAAACACAAAGTAAAGCTGTGAACTCTTTTTCAGCATTTAAAGAACACTGGGATTGTTAGTCCTGGGGCTTTGTTTAAACGCTAGATCCTTAAAATTGTGTGACACCTTTTGAAAGCATTATTTAGGCACCCCACATTATTAAATGGGCTGAAAACATTACTTCAACTCAGCTGGGCAAAGGGTATTTCTGCTATAGACAGTGTGCATATAGATAAAAGTGTGAAAAAACATTAACTTCTAGGCAAAGTGTTGTTTATTTCAAAGATCTATTAAATATGTCAGAATACTGAAAATTTGTACCTAGTATGATGTACTATAATTATTATCCAAAACTGAGTCGTTAGAATTCATAATTTTCTTTATAAAGTTTCTAATATAGAAAAGATATTCTCCCTAAGTCACTGGTACGGTTTGGGATCTGTGTCCCTGCCCAAATCCATGTCTAATTGTAATCCCCAATGTTGGAGAAGAGGCCTGGTGGGAGGTGACTGGATTGTAGGGGTGGAGTTCTCACAATGGTTTTACACCATCCCCCACTTCTCATGAGAGCTGGTTGTTTAAAAGTGCGTGGCACCTCCCCCATCCCACCCCTACCTGGAGCTCCAGCCAAGTGAAGTGCTGGCTCCCCCTCTACCTTCTGCTGTAATTATGTTTCCTGAGGTCTCCCCAGAGCTGATACCACCATGCTTCCTGGGCAGCCTACAGAAATGTGAGCCAATTGAACCTCTTTTCTTTTAAGTCACCCAGTCTCAGGCATTTCTTTATAGCTATGTGAGAAAGAACTAATACAATCACACGTTCAATAGAATCAGCCACCCACCCAAATCTACTCCCTTTCCATTTCCTATAGTTTGTATATCCTTTATTTCATAATTACTTCATTGGCGCTATGTGATAATAACTCATTTAGTGTTCACAACAACTCTATTCACTTCAGAAGAGGAAACTGAGGCAAAGCAAAATTAAATAACTTGTCCAAGTTCAAGAGCAAGTAAGCTGCAGAGCCAAGCTATACATCAGCCAGTCTGGCTGTAGGGCTACACACTGCATCCATGTGCTATAACTTATGTAAGCCATTCCCAATTGGTGTGCATGTATTCATTTAAAATTCTGTTACTGTCTAGGCGAAGGGGCTCACGCCTGTAATCCCAGCACTTTGGGAGGCCGCAGCAGTGGATCACCTGAGATCAGGAGTTTAACACAAGCCTGGCCAATATGGTGAAGCTCTGTCTCTACTGAAAATACAAAAAATAAGCCAGGTGTGGTGGTGCATGCCTGGAGCCCCAGCTACTTGGGAGCCTGAGGCAGGAGAATTGCTTGAACCCAGGAGGTGGAGGTTGCAGTGAGCAGAGACTGCACCACTGCACTCCAGCCTGGGTGACAGAGTACGACTCTGTTTTGAAAAATAAAAATAAAAATAATAAAATTCTGGCTAGGCGTGGTGGCTCACACCTGTAATCCCAGCTCTTTGGGAGGCTGCAGCAGTGGATCACCTGAGATCAGGAGTTCGAGACCAGTCTGGCCAGCATAGTGAAACCCCATCTCTACTAAAAATACAAAAATTAGCAAGGTGCAGTGGCATGTGCCCATAGTCCCAGATACATGGGAAAATGAGGCAGGAGAATCGCTTGAACCTGGGAGGTGAGGGTAGCAGTGAGCCGAGATTACACCATGCACTCCAGCCTGGCGACGGAAGGAGGCTCCGTCTCAAAAAATTAAAAAAAAAAAAAAAAAAATTCTGTTACTAATGTCATCATTGCAAATCAAATGCTTCTTCAATAAACATTTTTGTAGTTATTTCCCAATTCTAGCAGCACTGCTGGGTCAGAGGGTATGGGTATTTTAAATTCCTTAGTCTCAGTTCAGAGACAATCCCAACTAAGTTGTTTACCTCAGTGCCTGGTTTAAAATACATCAGAGGCAGAAAACTAGTAAAGAGTAAGATAACATAGCAGATTTAGTCACCAACAAAATATGAGCTTATTGAACAACGTGGAAAGATAACTTAAAACTTATAAGGAGGATAAATAAAGAGTTTAAAAAGCACTATAGTCTGAGTCCACCTACTGTAGATATTTAAAACCCTGTATAATCAAATAACTCCTAAATACTGCTATATTGCAACACAGTAAAATTTGCCACCTTATTGTAAATTATATATATTTTTAAAAAGAGTACTAAAGTAACAAATTTTAGAAAGTTTTCCATCAAAATACCTATCTTTTATATTTTATTAAAAGAATTTTTGGCCAGGCGCGGTGGCTCAAGCCTGTAATCCCAGCACTTTGGGAGGCCGAGGCGGGTGGATCACGAGGTCAAGAGATCGAGACCATCCTGGTCAACATGGTGAAAC